ACAGCGCGTCAATGAACGGAACCACCGCATGGACAACTCCAGGAAGCCGAACAGCGCCCGCGCGCGCAAAGACCACGCGAGTGGCCCAGTAGGCCCCAGGCCCGCAAAAACGTTAAACCACGCGCTCCTTGCCAGAGTTTCGATGCGCACCGCGCATCTGCAGCGCGCGGTCCAGAAGTCTAACTCCACAGGTACCCTCGAGGTCGATCACCACATGCACTTGTTCAAGCCAGCAGCAAATAATCCAGGGCCCAAGTTGCACCGCGCCAGATATCCTCCACCTGCCCTTCAGACGATTGGACCGACTGAGCTCATAGCCATCTTGCCGCTCGCGAACAGGCGGAGCAAGGGCTTCTTGAACTGCGGCGACCGCATTCGCATCCCCCGTATAATTGACCCCCGTGTTCCAGGGTACATTGCGTTGTCCTTCCACACCCACCCGAACACAAGCGCGTCTGCGCCTCTGAATCAAAATTCACGCGCCACTCTGCTCGCGAGGCCAATCCACGGCACCGTCGATCGACGCGGGCTTCACTGACCCGCATACGTTCCGCATGTCAAGCTCAATGACTACAATATAAGTTCTCCACCCGGCACCCCTCCGGGACAGTTCCGCAGTCGCCCCTGTGGCCCCAGATCTAGATCTTCTAAGCAAATATCCAGAATCACACAAGGGAGTGCCCCTCGCCGTCTTCCCTCACATCTGACCAAAAGAACCATCCGCGCAGAAATAACGCCCTGGTAGGTGAAAGGCGCGCCCCAGAGCGCAACAAATCTCTCAGGCCACCCACCTCCGCCACAATCGCCGGTGCGATCCATCCGCGAGAAAGAGGGCCCAATCCAGAACGCGACGGGGCACCACGGCCCCCCTCGCGCACCCGCGCATCAGGTCCGCGCGACGACGGAAGCGACCGCGCTTCATGTGGCGCGCGCCGCTGCACCGCCGCCCCCCCCCCCGCCGCTCCGAACACTTTGCCGATCCCCCCAGGCCCGCCCCCCCCCGCCCCCTCTCCTCCATATCGATGCACAACGGCGGCGCAGGTGCATCGCGCCGCGGCGCTCTGACCAGAAATTGCTCGTCGATCCCACCTGCACGCGCGCCGCCCTTCCTCGACGGCGCAGCAACGTTCTCCACGCGCTCCCCCATGATCAACGCGCATGCTGGTTCGCGTCCGAAATTATTCCTCATCTTCCCCACCCAGGGACCCGCCATGCGACGACAGATTCTCCACACCTCCGAAGCAAGGCCATTGGACTGCGATCGATGCCGCTCCTCCGCAAGTCGAGCGCCCTGCCTTTCGCATAACCTCCTCCTCCTCCGCCTCGTTCCTCTGTACATACGCGCAGTACGAGTAAGCCCCACTACAGTCTCAAGGGCGCCAGCGCGTCTCCCAAGTCCATTCACGCTGGCGAAGGGCCCCGGCCCTTTTCTGGAACGAGTTTGTATATTCAGCAGTCAGAACACGTAGTGTCGCTTCGAAGTGTTCGAATCCAACCTCTTGGACTGGCTGAACAACCTCTGTCCACGTGGCCGCGAGACGAAGTTCCTAGACAAATGCTTCAATCGATCCCAGATTATGTCTACGTAATGCCTCGGCCACCTCTTCTTCAACTCTAGCTCTGAAATATTCAATGCGACGCTCACTGCGCAGGGCATGTCCGAACCTCGCAGAACCCCACCGTCTGCCAAGGGGGCACAGGAACTCTGGCGGACATTGATCTGAACACACAAAAAAGGATATGCTCACGAGGCCGACCGCCAGGAATAATTTGCAACATCTTGGCCGCTCGCATCGGTTGGATGAGAAGTTCAAGCTTACGAAGGCATTCCGCAGGGACCAGCGCGCGATCGATACACGACGCGCGATGCACCTGCCCTTCCTTTCTTGCTTGAAACGCCGGAGCGTGATCCACCAGGTACCGCACCGAGGTAACTAGGACCAGATCTGAAGTATGGATTGGCAAAGGTCATGTCATGTGTCTCCGTCCATTCACGCATCAACGCACCCGTTGTAGTTTTCAAAGATCGACCGTATTCACCCACAGCACTTGGTTCCACTGTGGAATCCCCATGGGGTCCTTTGTCAAACCAACACCATCGCCCAGAGCCACCGCGGACATGGGAACAGCTCTTCCAGATAGACCAGCGAAAAAAACTGCACAAAGTCATTAAAGTTGGCCACCGAGGACGTCAGTCTCATCTGGACCGTTGGGTCTTCGCTACGGGGCGGATAGTACAAAGCAACACACGCCATATCAGCATTGTTCGAGTTTACAAGAATAGCCGCAAACCTCCCTCTGATATCTATCGGATCATTCCACATCCTTACCAGGTCCCTGCCACGCACCGTCTTATCGTTCATTTAGAAAACACGCACACACACACCGTACGAGAAGTTTGTCAACGATCCTTTGGTGCGAAAGCCACAGCACACGGCTTTGAAAGTGGGAAGGCCTTATCAAGAATACGGCGCATGTACAGCACGCCTCTGAATACCAACCACTATGTGAATTCCACAAACTCGCATCCGAGCTCAAGCTCACGATCTCTGTCTGGAATAGACCAGGGATTCCAGCATAAAGTTCTCATCGCACAAGACATCAAGCAGAAATCACCCAGAAAGAGGATCAGATCAGGTTCAGTGGCACTTACCGCGCAACGTAGCAGCAGGAAATGGCGATCCAACCACAGCATCAAGAGCCACCATCACACAGACACACAAGATGAAACTCTCGCACATACCTAAAGTCAAAACTGTGAACCACCCTCCACGCGCCAGTAGAGTTTGACCCTCTTCAAGAACTGGCTCCAGCCGGTCCCGATGATAGCTTCAATTCTCGAACAATCTTTCCCGAAGACACCACCAATTGAGTAGTAATGTATGCAAGGGAAGGGGTACAGTAGAGGGCAGAGGGTGGTCTGATTTGGTCTCGGCGCAGAGGGGGGGCGCGCCTAACGCTGAGCAGCCACTGCGTGCTTGAGCCAAAATGGCTACGCAGGAGGAGGAGGACCAGTGTAAACAGAAGGCCCATCAACCGAAGTTCCCTCTTCATAGGCCCCTACGAGGACTGATTTTCACTGGGTAAAGTGCCCCGTTGGAAGACAACCATTTGAAAATCCAAAGCTACGCCAGAACCCCATTCCTGGGACTTCAACGCCGCGAATCACCGCTACGGTTGCGTCTTGACGATCCTGATTCGTGCCAAAACACAATTGCTGGGACTTCAACTCCGCGACCCAAAGTGGCAACTGCGCCCTGATATTCCGACATCGTGCCAAAGCACCATTTCCAGGATGATAACCGTGAGGATTATTGAAACTGCTGCCAACTCGTCAGACGAATGTGCGCAGCGCTAATGCGAGAGCCACATTTTGAAAAAGGGACCGCCCTCCATCAGCGAAGCTCTGGCAATAGGTTGAAACGCATGTACGCCGCGTTACGGCGAGAGCCACATCTTGAAAACGGACCGCCCCCCATCCGTGAAATTCGTTCAAACTGTTAAGACGAAGGTGCGTCGCGCTAAGGCGACAGCTACACTTTGAAAACGACCCGCCCTCCATCCGCGAAGCTCTTGCAGCAGTAAAGCAAAGACCACATTTTGAGAGCCATCCGCCCTCCATCTGTGAATTGGTTGCACATCTTAGGCTTCAGGATTGTCAACGGTGAGGAAATGTGGAACGAAACGCCCAGCCCGCCTTCTCGACTGGGAGGAGGAGGAGGAGGAGGAGGAGGAGGAGGAGGAGGAGGAGGAGGAGGAGGAGAAGGAGTAAGACCATGATGAGGCAAAAGCAAAGGAGGGGAGAGGAAAGAGGAGGGGGGGAAGAGAGGGCGAGGAGGAGGAGGCAGAAGAGCGGGGGAAAGGAAAGGATAGAGGAGGAGGACAAGGAGGACCAGAGTAAGCCCCAGACTCATCAACGACCAGATTCCCTCATCACAACCCGGAGAAACTGTTTCACTGCGGGAAATGCCGAATTGGGAAACAACCATCTGCTAAATCTCCAAGCGTGTCAGAGCAAACCTCAAGCGCATGAACCACCGTTACCGTTGGGTCTTGATGATCCTGACTCGCGCCAGAGCGCCCTTCCTGAGACTTCAACTCCGCGAATCAACGTGACAGCTGCGCCCTGGCATTCCGAAATCATGCCAAAACACCGTTTCTGTGGCATCAGCCATACGAGTCCTTGAAACTGCTGTGAATTGTTACACCGAGTGTGCGCGGCGCTAAGACGAGAACCAAACTCTGAACAGGCACCGCCCTCCATCCGTGAAGCTCTTGCAAGCTCTTGAGAGACGGATGTGCGCCGCGCTACGGCAAGAGCAGCGGCTTGAAAACGGCCCGCCCTGCACCCGTAGAACTCCTGCGATCTTCAGCACAGACCTGCTCGGCGCTGCGGCGAGAGCCACGTGGTGACGACCACCCGAAGCCTCCGCCCGTGGAGCTCCTACAGCCTCTTCAGACGCGTGCGCGCGGCGCTGCAGCGACTGCCACCTTCTGAAGACGACCCGCCCTCCGCCCGTGGAACTGCTGCAGCTTGCGAGCCTCGGGATCACAGATTTGGCGGCGCGCAGGAGGGGGTAGGGGGAGGGGGGAAGGCTTCTTAAAAGGAGGCTGTTTCTTAGAAGGCGGCGGCCTTACATCTATACATAAGGACCGCGCCTTCTAAGAAGCAGGGGTGCTTCTAAGAAGCCTTCCCCCTCCCCCTACCCCCCTCTGCGCGTGGCCGACAGATGGTGAAGGAGTCTCGAGCGACACGCCCGGCCCGCCCCATCGACCGGTCTCGGAGTGCGACGGGGAGGAGTTCTTCATGAGGAAGACGGATGGAGGAGGAGCATGAGGAGGAGGAGGAGGAGGAGGAGGAGGAGGAAGAGGACGACGACGACGACGACGAAAAACGACAACGACGACGACGACGACGACGACGACGACGACGACGACGACGACGAGGCTAGGGTGGAGACCGAAAAGGAAAACTGCGAGGAGGATAAGGGATGGATCACCTTGGTCTGCCACTGGGTCTCGCCGGGCCTCTCTCGTTTTCGTCTGTCCTTCTCCTGCGGGGCAACGATAGGGGGGGACTGGCATAGGAGGGGATGAGTTGAACTGGAATCGGCGATACATCGCCGATGGATCGGCGATAGGCCTCCGATAATGAATCCGAGCCTTCCTGGGCAGGCTGGGGCTATCGGGCCCCTATCGGCGAACAATGGGCGATTGGGGTCGATGCATACCCCCCTATGCCCATCCCCCCCTATCGTTGCCCCTGATCTCCCCCGCGTCGCACAGGTGGCAGAAAGAGCAGGCCAGGTCGTTCGCGCAGCGCTGCGCGTGGAAGAAGACGCAAGGCCTGGGCTGGAAAGCGTGGGAGAACGCGGGGAAGGGGGCAGGGAAGAAGAGGTAGGAGGACGATGAGGAGGAGGGGGAGAAGGAGGAGGAGGAAAAGGAGGAGGAGGAGGAGGAGAAGGGGGAGGAGGAGAAGGAGGAAGATGAGACAAAATAAGAAGAAGAAGAAGAAGAAGAAGGAGGCCTAGCCTCTCAGAGGAGGAATCCAGGAGGAGGAGGAGGAGGAAGAGGAGGAGGACCAGAGTGAATCCAAGATAACCCTCCCTGCCCTGGGCCCATCCTCATGAGTCCCTACAACCATTCCGTTGCCCTCACTGGGACAATAGGTGAAGGTCCCCGATCCTCGTGAGGGATAGAGCTCCCCGTGGGGCCACGAAACGTGTGTGGGCGACGCTATACAATTGGGCCCACTGAAGCATTCGGTGGAGCTCCTCATGGTGCCACAAAAGGTGTGCGGGTTCGCCGACATGGGCGGGGGGGAGCCATACGGTCGGTCCCACCAAAGGCCTCTGGTGGGGCCCCGAAACGTGCGAGGGGTAAGCCGACTGGAGGGCGCTGCGCCGTCGGTCCCACTGAGACCCGTGGGTGGAGCTCCCCATGGGGCCACGAGGAGTTTGAGGGGTGTGCCGAAACATGCTGTGGAACGCTATGCGGCTGGTCCCACTGAGGTTTTTGGCAGAGCTCCCCAGAAGGCCACGAAGCGTGTGAGGAGTGTGCTTGCCGGGGGGCACTAGGCGGCCGGTCCCATACACTGAGGCCTTCGGTGGAGATTTCCCTATGGGGCCACGACACGTGTGAGAAGTGTGCCGAGATTGGCTGGGTGATGCTATGCCGTCGGTCCCACACCGAGGGCTTCGGAGGAGCTCCCTGTGGGGCCGCGAGACGCGTGAGGGGTGTGCCGAGATTGGCTGGGTGATGCTATGCCGTCGGTCCCGCACCGAGGGCTTCGGGTGAGCTCCCTGTGGTGCCGCGAGGCGTGTGAGGGGTGTGCCGAGATGGGCATGCGGAGGGCAGAGGCACGAGGGAAGGGGCAGCGGGAGATGCGGATGAGGCGCGGGGTGCTGCAGATTCAAAACGAGGGCCCAACACCTCGGGATGGTTGGGGAGAGCAGGGAGGGAGGTCGTCGGCCTGCATGTGCGCGCTTCGTGCTCCGACGGCAGGGCAGGGTAGGCCAGCGGGCGGCCTGCCGCCGCCTGTGCTGCTGGGTCGCCTGCGACTCTGGCAGCAGCGGGGTCTGCTGGCCGCCCATCCCGCCGCTCCTGCAGAGCGCGGCATCAGCCCATCATCATCATCATCATCATCATCATCATCATCATCATCATCATCATCATCATCATCATCATCATCATCATCATCATCATCATCATCATCATCATCATCATCATCATCATCACCATCACCATCATCATCATCACCATCACCATCATCATCAGCAGCATCATCAGCATCATCATCACCACCACCACCAACATCAACATCATTATCATCATCATCGGCAGCAGCATCATCATCCTCATCCTCATCCTCAACCTCATCCTCATCAACATCAGCATCAGAATCAGCATCATCATCATCACGATCATCATCATCATCACCACCAGCAGCAGCATCATCAGCATCATCAGCATAAGCATGAGCATCCGCATCAGCATCAGTATTATCATCAGTATCCTAATCATCATCAGCATCATCATCATCATAAGCATCATCATCAGCATCAGCATCAGCATCAGCATCAGCATCATCATAAATATCATCATCATCAGCATCAGCATCATCATCAGCATCATCATCATCCTTGTCATCAGCATCAGCATCAGCATCAGCATCAGCATCAACAGCATCATCCTCATAATCGTAGTCGGCAGCAGCAGCAGCAGCAGTCTCACCACCTTCATTCTAACATCACGACGTTCATCGTCATCACCGTCACAGCCAACCAGACAACCTCATCAGCAGCAGCAGGAGTAGTAGGAGCAGCAGCAGAATCATCACCATCCTCAGCATCATCATCATCAGCAGCATCATCACCAGCATCAGCCTAATCAGCATCATCAGCATCATCGTCATCATCATTCGCATCGTCAACAGAATCTAAACAATCGTCATCAGCAGCAGCCTCACTATCTTCATGATTACATCATCGTGGTCATCTGTATCACCGTCATAGACAACGACATAAACATCATCATCAGCAGCAGCAGAAGCTGCAGCAGGAGAAGCATCATCATCCTCGTCCTCCTCATCATCAAAAGCAGAATCCTCATCATCATCATCACCATCATTATCACCATCAGCATCATCATCAGCATCATCATCATGCTTCGCCTCATCATGGTAGAATGCGAAGTGCTGTCTGATAAGGCTTCTGTAGATCTACTACGGGTCACCCTCCTCTTCTCTCACCACACACTGCCGCGTGCCCCCCCCCCACCCACCCACCCACCCACGCGTTCGAGGTTTCAGAATGCCCGCCGCCTTCCGAAGTCCCCTGGGCTTCCAAGACCGCCCAGGGAGACCACCAAAGCCACCGAGACGACCCAGCAGTACCTCAAGAGGCACCAGACAGCAAGAGGCCTCCCATATACCAAAGGGAAAGCCGAGAAGCTCTCCGTGTCAGCCGAAGTCCATCAAAAGTCGATGGAGATCCTCGGGTGTTTGAGGATGCTGGGTCGCCCACGCCTCCCGGCTCGAGGTGGCTTCGCGAGGACCTCGGAGGAGCCAAAGGAGGGCCGAGGCGAGCCCCGTCCGGGTCCAGCGAGGGCCCCCCGACGGCCTGGGACCGCCCCCCAAGGAGGCTCCAAGACTGCCCGAAAGAGCCCGAAGACAGCCCAACCGAGTCCCAAGGCAGAGGAGGAGGAGGAGGAGGAGGAGGAGGAGGAGGAGGAGGAGCAGGAGGAGGAGCAGGAGGAGGAGGAGGGGGAGGAGGAGGAGGAGGCGGCGTCGGAAAGCCCAAAAGGCGAATTTGTGAAACAAATACGTTTTACGAAGGGAACTGGCCAACTTTTTGCGTCTAGAGGCCCTCTTGGGGCGCATCTTGGATGCCGGCTCCCATGACAACCCCCAGAGGCTCGCATACGGCCCAGCAGAGAAGGACCCAAGACCACCCAAGAAGGCCCCAAGATGGCCCAAGAGGGCCCCAAGACGGCCCAAGAGGATCCCCAGACGGCCTCAAGGCGGCCCCACAGGAGTCCAAGCCAGCCCAGGTCGTCTCATGCGAGCCTCTGGAGGGATGCAGACGAGAAGTGTCACATGTTACGGCCTTCTGGGCGGTGCTTCGAGCGTTCTCACACAGAGTGCTGCGCTGGCACGGTGGCAAGCCTTGGCGCAGGCTGCTGGATAACCACCAGTCCCATCATCATCAGCGTCATCATCATCAGCAGCATCATCAGCAGCATCATCAGCAGCAGCATCAGCATCAGCATCAGCATCAGCACCAGCAGTACCATCATCATCATCAACATCATCATCATCATCATCATCATCATCATCATCATCATCATCATCATCAGCATGATCATCACCATCATCAGCAGAAGCAGCAGCCGCATCATCATCATGAGCAGCAGCATCTTCCTCCTCATCATCAGCAGCATTATCGTTACCAACAGCATCATCACCATCATCATCATCATCATCATCATCATTAGCTGCAGCATCATGAGCAGCATCAGCATCATCTTCCTCATCAGCATCATCATCAGCAGCAGCATCAGCATCAGCAGCGGCAGCATCAGCATCATCATCAGAATCATAATCCCCCTGCTTTCTTTTCTCTGTATATTGATGGAACTGCATACATATATATATGTATGTATACAGAATGTGCATGTGGAACCCTACAGCACATATAGGTGTACCGATATGCACCTATACATGGATAGTTGAACATCGAATACAAGCAGTATGTGTATATATATGTATATGAACACGCACATGTATCCGACACCGTGCCCTTGAGGCACGAGTTGGAGTGGCCTCAGGAACTTGCTCAATCCCCTGGAGCCCCAGTCTTCACTCCTGAAGATTCTTCACGGGGCCTGGACCCCGGCTCTCAAGTCTCCTTGGGCTCCCGGCGTGCCCTCTCGGCTCACTCGAGTGTTCAGCGCACGACTTCTTTCGGAGCCGTGAAGGCCCGAAGACGGATCAAGAGGGGTCCAAGAGGCCGCCCAGACGGTCCAAGGGTGCCCCGAATCGCCGCACGACCACGACCGGTCCAAAACAACCAAGATGGCCCCAAGACCCCGCGAAGCGGCTGCCGTCTGGGCTTGCGTTTCCCATAATTCAACAAGTGGAAAAGGGCGAATTATGGGAAACGCAGACCCGGACGATTGCCCCAAGGACACATTGTGCGGCAAACGCGTGTCCCAGAATTCGAAATTCCGAAATATGGGAAACACAATTTCCCTTGAAAAACCGCACACTATGGGCCAGGATTGCGTTTCCCATAAATCCAAATTGTGGGAAACGCAATTCTGGCCCATTGAATGCGGTTTTTTGAAAGGGCATTGCGTGTCCCATAATTCGAATTCCGAATTCTGGGCAACGAACGCAGTTTCCCAGAACTCGAATTCCGAATTATGGGAAACGCAAGTTCCCTTGAAAAACCGCACTCGATGGGCCAGAATTGCGTTTCCCACAATTCGGAATTATGGGACACGCAATTCTGGTCTATTGAGTGCGGTTTTTCCCGGGAAATTGCGTTTCCCATAATTCGAATTCCGGGAAACGCGGATTCCCAGCCGAATTATGGGAAACACAATTCTGGCCCATTGAAAATGGTTTTTCTGGGGAAATTGCGTTTCCCATAATTCGAAATCCGAATTTCGCCCAGAATTCGAATTCCGGGAAACTGCGTTTCCCAATATTCAGAATGCGAATTGTGGGAAACCGCAATTTCCCTGGAAAAACCGAACTCGATGGGCCAGAATTGCGCTTCCCTCCCATACTTCCGAATTATGCGAAGCACAATTCTAACCCGATGCGGTTTTTCCAAAGAAATTGCGTTTCCCATAATTCGGAATTCGAATCCTGGGAAACCGCGCTTCCCGAAAATCAAAATTCGACTTATAGGAAACGCAATTTCCCCAGAAAAGCCGCACTCAATAGGCCAGCTTCGCGTTTCCCATAATTCTGAATTCGAATTCTGGGAAACCGCGTTTCCCGAAATTCAGAATTCGAAGTATGGGAAACGCAGTTTCCCTTGAAAAACCGCGCTCACTGGGCCAAAATTGCGTTTCCCATACTTCCGGATTATGCGAAGCACAATTCTATCCCATCGAATGCGGTTTCCAAAGAAAATCGCGTTTCCCATAAGTCGGAATTCGAATTCTGGGAGACCGCGTGTCCCAACATTCAGAATGCAAATTATGGGAACCCGCAATTTCCTTGGAAAAACCGCAGTCAATGGACCAGAATTGCGCTTCCCATAATTCCGAATTATGGGAAACGCAATTCTGGCCCATTGAATGCTGCTTTTCCGGGGAAATTGCGTTTCCCATAACTCGACATCCGAATTCTGGGAAACCGCGTTTCCCAACATTCAGAATGCGAATTATGGAAAACCGCAATTTCCCTGGAAAAACCACACTCAATGGGCCAGAATTGCGTTTCCCATGCTTCCGAATTACGCGAAGCACAATTCTAACCCATTGAATAAGGTTTTTCCACGGAAATCGCGTTTCCCATAATTCGGAATCCGAATTCTGGGAAACCGCGTCTCCCGGAATTCTGAATTCGAATTATGGGAAACGCAATTTCCTTAGAAAACCGCACTCAATGGGCCAGAATTGCGTTTCCCACAATTTGGAATTATGGGGAACGCAATTCTTCCACGAAATTCGGAATTCGAATTATGGGAAACGCAACTTCCCTTGAAAAACCGAACTCGGTGGGCCAGACTTGAATTTTCCCATAATTCGAATGGGCCAGACTCGATGGGCCAGAATTATGGGAACGCAATTCTGGCCCGTCGAGTGCGGATTTTCAACGGAAGTTGCGTTTCCCATATTTCGGAATTCGAATTCGGAGAAACCGCGTTTCCCGAAAAAACGCACTTCATGGGCCAGAAGTGCGTTTCCCATAATTCGGAATTATGGGAAACGCAATTCTGGCCCATCGAGTGCGGTTTTTCAAAGGAAATTGCGTTTCCCATACTTCGGAATTCGAATTCTGGGAAACCGCGTTTCCCGAAATTCGGAATTCGAATTATGGGAAACGCAATCTCCCTGGAAAAACCGCACTCGATAGGCCAGAA